AGACTGCTTTGCTTGTAAAGTACTCAAAGACGTGAAAGAACTGCTCTAACTCCCTTCTTCCTGAGGTGGCAACTGTCCTGACTGCTCTACAGGTTCCCTTTCCAGCTTCTTTTTCAGGACGTTAAAATGCATTACTCAACAAACTCAATGCTAACCCATATATAAGCACTTATAATGAAGGAAAGACCCTCTGAATGCCTACGTGAGTATTAGGCGGCACTTGGGGGGGGGGTACCAGGGATCAAACTCGGGTCCTTGCGCTTGCGTAGCAGGCGGCGGAACCACTGAGCTAAGTCCCCGGCCCCTGAGGGGCATTTTATACCCTTCCAACATTGACAATAAGAGAATCCTGCACACTCTTGCCTCAAATTACATAGATTTCCTTCCAGATCATGGGACATATTGTAACGGCATATTATTTTCCAATACCGTAATTCTTTTCCAATTACAAGATGCCATAAAATATTATCAGCATCAATGGGAAAGACCCCCACTGTTCAATTTAACAAAGCTTTATGTTCAGTAAACAACAATTTTCACATGTATAACTGCAAAAAAAATGTGAATAATGTAACTATTCTGGACTCCCAACCATTTTTAAAAGCAATGTATTATTATTCAAACTGTTATTAGTGGAAAACTAAAAAATTAGAAACTTGCAAGGTACAAACAGCAATGCCCCTTTACTAAGTGCCCACTAGTAAAGCAGAGAGCATTGATTCAATTGCTTTAATTTTATATAGTAAATTATTTGGCAACAGACTTAATGGATGTGAAATATGTATACTTAAAGCTAATTCTGCACTTTCTTTGCATGTAGCTTTTTACCATTCTAAAATCTCTCAATCGATAAGAGTTTTTCAGAATTAAGACCTTGAATAAGCACTACATTTACAAAAAGTGAAATAAGCGAACAGTATTTACTAAATAAACATGTACTGTAAATTCAGCAGCCTACAATTCAACAATATTTTATTTCACAATTATGCAGGAGGTGTTAAATTAAAAATCTTCTGACCTTGGAAAACCACATATAATAAATGTGCCCTTTTGTGGGCCGGGGATTTGGCTCAGTGGTTTCGTCACCTGCTGCGCAAGTGCAAGGACCCGAGTTCGAGCCCCGGTACCAAAAAAAAAAAAAAAAAAAAAAAATGTGCCCTTTTTATAAAATTAGATACAGAATGGTATTAGTCAAATGTAATTCTATTCTCCAACTATTCTGTGACATTGTTGAAAGAACAAATTGAAAAAATATGCTAGTTAGCACCTGCCTGGCAAGCTTGAGGTCCTGAGTTGGATGCCCAGTACAAAAAAAAAAAAAAAAAAAAAAAAAAAAATATATATATATATATATATACACACACACATATATGCTAATTCAAATTGGGAAACAAAAAAACATGAGCTTTAGAAGCTTGCTTTTGTGAAAAAAAGAAACTGATAAACATGATAAATTGTACGGTTTTCCTGTATAATTTTCTCCTTAACCCTATCAGAAACACCATACTTATGGTACAAAAGAGATAAGGAAATAAGTTTCACTAGCTGTATATAACCTAGATCCCATCAAAATTAAAGCAGCGAGGCCGGGGATTTAGCTCAGTGGTTTCGCTGCCTGCTGCGCAAGCACAGGGACCCAGGTTCGAGCCCCGGTACCAAAAAAAAAAATCCAGAATAAGAGAAATTATGGCTTCCAACAACTGGAGGGAGGCCTTTTTGGGTGGCAATGCCACGGGCAAGTGAGGTCCCAGGAGAAGCCAAGGTCAGAGGGCACAGGATCACACCGAGGTTTTCCACCTCCACTAACTGCGTGTTGCTGACAAACCAGGAAACTAGAACCAAGTCTCAGGCTGTCAACTGCAAACAGAGACTAACATTACCTGCCAGGCTGGACGGCAGGAGAAGGAAACAAGGTCAGAGGCCTTGGAAAGCATGCGTGAACTGCAACTGTGCACTACTTCCACACTCCCTACACACTCTCCTGTCCTCCTACAGAGCACACCCAGCAGAACAGAACTCAAGGTCACATTGTCTCATCTCGCATCTCGCCGTGACCCCAGGGACATGGCGGGAGAGGCCGGGATGCTTGTGGGCCACAGCCTGCCACCTGCCCAGAGCCGCTGTGTGGGTTAACTGCGGCTGCACACGGCGCCAGCCAGCACAAGGCAGGGCGAAACTGTCCTCAGCCTGCTGCCTCAACTACTCTTATTCTTCTCTCACCACTGTTTGTCTTCTGCTCCAGGGGAAAGAGAAGCCACCAAACAAGAGCTCATCAGCTTTCCGCACCAAACCACTGCGCCCACTTCCCCTTGCCTGTAACCTGGAGCCAGGCTGACCTTTCAGTCTCGGCTTGCCATCCCACCTCTGTCTGTCAACTGCTCTCTCCTGCGACTCTCCCCAAAATGGGAACGTGCCCAAGTCTCACCCACCTTTTAAAAGAAGGAGGCCCTACCGCAACCTCCTCCCGCACTCCAGCCATCCTCGCTCTCCTTCCTTTACAGCTCTGCCTCCCGTGTCCTAGAGAATCATCACTAAACACGACTACCAGGGAGGGCACTGGGCCCAGGGAATTACAACTAAGACCGTTTCGAAACAATGAGTGAGAGCAAAGCAGGTGAGGTAGAGGATGGGCCACAGTGGTATGTGGCAGGTACGTGGCAAAGACAACAGCAAAGGTGGGAGGCCCAGAAGAAATGGCAACAGTTGAGAGCATCTATAAATGTCAAACTAATACACACATTTACTCCTGTTCCCTCCCAAAATTCCACTATAGCAACAGCAAAAGAATAATATTTTTTTTTAAAAGGCAAAAAGCATAAATGCACAAGAACAAACAGAAGAGAAAAGGCAGGTGAGAGACACCAAAATGTGAAGCGATGGAAATATACAGAATTTGCTAGAAACTGGGTCTGGAAAGACCCCTGAGTTTCAGTGTTAAAGGCTTGGTTCCCAGCCTGGGGCTACTGGAAGGTGCTGGGCCCTTTAAGAGGTGTGGCCTAGTGGGAGGTCTTTAGGTCTGGAGATGTTCCCCAAGAACCACAGGTCCCTGGTCTCCTCCCCCTCTACTCTGCTCCCTGCCTGACCAAACCGGTTTTGCTCTACCCCAGGAAGCTGTCACATCACAGGCCCAAAAGCCCAGGGGCCAACTGATCTTGGGCTGAAACATCAGACACTGGGGCCCAAAACAAACTTCTTTACTTATATACAGAAGAAAACACAGAAGGCATAGAAAGCACTATCTGCAGAACAAACTTTGATAAATTAACTCCTCAAAAACAAAAAGCTTCTGTGCATCAAAAGACACCACTAAGAAAACAACTTGCTAAGCTACACACCAGGCAAACCATCCGCAACACACACGCTAGAAAAAGCACACACTCAGTTGAAAACAAACACACAGAAGATTATACAAATAGCCAATAATTACATCAAAAAACACTCAACAGCATCATCAAAGGAAAAAAAGACCAAAACCAAAAAACAGTCCCCACCATGAGATGTAGCTACAGACAAGAGCAGCACAGTGATTCCCAGTGAGCGATGGTTGCCACTGACCACCAGGAGCTACTGTGGCTGGGTTTGCACTGGCATCGAGGGTGCTGCCACACAGCTCATCACGCACTGGGCAGCCCACACAGCTGCGCATTACCTCACACAGTTTTCACAGCTGAGAAACACGAAGAGACTGACAGCACCATGGGCTGTTGCTCAGGTGGAGCAGCCGGAGCTGACATACTCCAAACACGGGCACCATACGGTCCATCCCCTTTAGTGTCTGGCACCGCAGAAGGCTCCTCACTGCCATCAGCCTGGAAGACCTGCGCTCCCAGACTCATTTACTCCTCCAGCCATCTCTCCAAACTGAAGCATAAAGATGAGTGAACGTCAGGAACATCTTCAATAAAACCTATTTAATTTTACTTACAGAAATCTTAGAAATTCAAAGGCAGAACATGCTTTAAGATCACTTAGTCCAATTCAGTACCCCAGGCAGGAATATTAGTACGTTCCTGGCAGTGAACTATCTTTCCTTCATCATGAACACAGTCTAGGAAAAATACCCAGATGTTTCTGGTAAAGAGAAACAACTAATACCATATAGTGACACCTCTTTAATCTTTCTTGTAACCTCATTTAACTGTAGATCACTACAGATACTGACATGGGTTTAAGACCATCACAATACAGATTGAAAAGATGAATATAGGCTCAGAGAGATACTATATATTTATGAATTACTACAACTTATTTCTTTTTAGAAAGGGGATGAATGCAACTGAAAGTAGTACAAAAATGACCTAAATCAGCACCATACAATAGAAATATAACCTAAACCTAAATGCAGGCTACATATGAAATGTTCAAAAGGCAAAAAGAAGATGAAATACAATTTGGTAATTATATAAAAAAAATACATATACTATGCAAAACAGCCAAAATACTATCATTTTAACATGTAACCAACCTAAAATGTTTAGGTTTTTTTACACTTTTGGTACTGCCTTCAAAATCCAATGTGTATTTTACACTTACGAGTGCATATCCATGTGGACTAGCATGCCAAGCGCTGGAGAGTTCCGTGTGGCTGGGGGCTACTACTCAGCTAGCACTTGTTATTACGTAGCCAGCTTCTAAGCATTTACATGGGTTATTCCATCTACTCTTGAGTACCATACAGAGGAGTGGATTATTCTGTTTACTCCTCCAAGTACCGAGTAGAGGAAAGTCATCCAAGTTCTCACCAACTGTAGTAGAGTCAGGGGATTCGGCCTTCTTAATCAGCTCAACTCAAAACCTTTCTTCCTAAACACCATGCTGTTTCACATCAAAAGTTTGGTTTTTGTTTGTCTGCTGAATTACTGAATGTTCAACTAAATCAAATTAATATTACTGATTTCCAGGTGACATCATATAGTATTTTTTTGAAATGTAAATTTCAGATCATATTTAAAAACTGACTTTTTCCTCTCATGATTTAAAAGATGAAAGAAATGAGTTACCATTAATATGAGTTTCTGATACTTTTGCTTCAGTTCTGACACATTAGCAGAAGGCTCGGCCCCCAGAATGCCATACCAATCCTTTGCTGGCCCCTGTTCCAACGCCATCACTCTTGAACCAGAAGAGGGTCTTCTCAGGCCAGCTGCGTAAAATACAAACGACAGCCCATTACAGTCCGCATGTACCTCAAAAAACCCAAGATTGCCTTCCTAAGTTCCTTACTATTTGGCTGAGTAAATCATGATTATAATCCAAACTTGAAGCGTAATTTTTATTTCCTATGTTCTCAGTAACTCCATGTAAAACGATACAAACAAGTACGGGAAATGCGCCAAATGTTTACGACAAAATGTGCTAGATGTTCGCTCTTAAATTCACAACTAGACCTTAGCATCACAAGGCCAGCGCGGGCGGTGGGTAACCCCGCAGGAAGGCGCCGAGGACACCTTAATTCTTTCATCTCTTCCCTCCCTCCGTCTCTCGGTCGCTTTACCATCTGCAAGGGATCTGCCTCCCACTTCCTCTGGCGGGCTGACTTATACTCCGGCTTCTCGCAGGGTAAACGCGGCACCCTAACGACAGCGCGGCAAACACGGGAGGCGAAATCCAGCCACGCCGCCGGGACCCACCTGGGCCGGCCCGGGCCCCGTCCCTCCTCCGGAGGCCGCGCTGCGGAGCTGGAGCTTGAGCTGGAGCCGGGTCCGGACGGGGCCAGCCTTCCCGCCGCGCCGCACGCCCAGGGACAGCACACGACCGCTCAGCTCCGCTCCTCGTGCGCCGCCCGGCTCCGTCCGCACCTCGCTCCCACAGCCGCCGGACGCACTCGGCACCGGCGTCCGCTTCCGCCGGAAGTTGGCGTGACGTCACCGCGTTGCCAGTCGAGCCATGGCCGAGGCACCGACCGGAAGCGCCGTTCCTCCCGCCCCGACGCGGTCGCGATGGTAACCGGGCCCCGCGAGGTACGCTGCCTGGCTCTACTTACTCCCGGCCCTTTTGTTCTGTAGCCGGACGCGCGTGGCGAGGGGCTGGGAGCGGCGTTAGGGGAGCAGCAGATCTGGTAAAATATGCTCAAGCTCATTACTTCTTGTAGTTGTTAGCAACCGACTTATTAAAGAACTGTTCAAATCCTTTTGCATTTGTTGTTTCGCTTTGCTTTCCCTTCCGCCCAGCCAGACCAGTAAGGAAGGCGTTGCTGTCACCAGCTTTAGGACGAGGAGGTAAAGCCGCGATCGGCCGGAGCTGCGGGCTGGGCCTGCAGGTTCCAGGGCGCTGAGCTCTCTCAGACTTGGGGAAAAGGAGAGGGCGCCGCCCCCCTGGAGTCAGCAGGAGACACGCAGGTGGACCCTGTGGGTGTGCTGTCCTTGGTTTTCCTCTCTTCCTCCGCTCCCGTCACGGCCTCTTCTCTGGGCTGCTTGTTACCCTGGTCTCTCTTCCTCGCACGGTGCCTAGAGGTAAAGACCAGATCTGAACCTTTGGCAGCCTGACACAAACTTCACTTGGAGATGTTCAAATGGTTTTATTCTTGCCACCACTTACATTTACTTCCCTTCTTTTTAATCTTTCTTCTACCAAATCTCACTTTAAGAAGCATTCAAGAGAACCTTGAGTTGGATAGGTAAAATATTCTAATATGGTCATTATGCAGTGATGGTATGAATTATAAAGAATAGATTGAGACAGGCAACACAAAAACATCTAAAAATTGGTTCTCCGCAGGAGTTTTCGCGTTTAAGCCAACATGAAGAGCTTTATGCTGATCAGTAGGCAATCTAGTTTTTGTTTGTTTGGGTTTTTTTCTCTGTACCGGGGATCAAACTCGGGACCTTGCACTTTTGAGGCAGGCCGTGAAACCACTAAGCTAAATCCCCGGCCCCTAGGTTTTCTTGTTTGTTTTGGGGTTTTTTGGTACCGGGGATTGAACGCGGCTAGGCCCTAGTTTTAATCCTAGATCCAGGATACTTCCGCGGGGCTCTACCAGAATATGTAGGGCAACGGAATTAGGTGTGGTGAATACCTTCCCACGCAGTGTTATCAGGGTACAGTAACGCCCCTCAATGGGTCTACTCTCAATCTCAATTCCCTGCTCCGTCCTTCCCTGGACAGAGACAGAGAGATACCCTAGAGTACTCCAGTCTGTACAGCTTTATTTTGATTTACTCCTCCATAAAGGTGCTGTGTTATCTTTTATTCTGCTTGTTTACTTGGGTTTGAAAAATAAGAAAGGTACTTTTACCCCAGCAAATCCAAAATGTTTTAAATATTTTATTTATATCCAGAATACTATCGTTTCAAAATGTAGTCAATATAAACTTGTCTGTGCAACATTTCGCATTGTTTTTTCCTCTGGAGTCTTCAAAAGCTGGTCTGTACTTTGCCTGAAAACCGCACGCCCCAGTGTGGCCTCGATGCATTTCAGGTGCTCAGAAGCTGGATGCAAGTGGTGGGCCCTGTACTGAGCAGGGCCCTCCAGAGTACAGTGTCCTGACTCCGAGCCGGGCATTCATGTACCTTCCCAATACAATCCTTAGTTTTCCAGCCTGGTCTCCTGTTACCTCCGTACATGAAAAGGATAAACAGCTGGATCTTTTCTCAATGTTTCACCCATCATTTTGTCCAATGCTTCCCCTTACCTTCACTCTTCTTCCGCTCTCAGTTTTATCCCTCCTTTAAAGCCTGTATCTTCCACCACCTTTCATGGTGGCTCAGGCCTTGGAAATTACTTCCTTGGCTTTCTTAAAAAGTTCCGTGTGCACTCATCTGAATCCATCGCATGGCACAGTGCACTGTTTCAGGTGCATATTCCAGCGTGAACACCTCTCAACAGAGAAACAGAAACGTTTAATGTTAATCCTAATCAACTTCCTCACTGCGGCATTCTCACTGTGTCTGTATTATGTGAAACTAATAAAGCAGAAATATGAACGACGTTATTTAATGGGTAAGAGCTTCAGTTCTGAGTCAGACTATGGAAAGCCCAGATCTGCCTTTTGCATGAGTACTTTTTAAAGTCAACCTCTGTTTTGGTTTTTCCTCTGTAAAACAGAAACAATAATAACATCTCCCTTCTAGGAAATGGAGGTAACTATGCCTGAAAGAAGTGAGAGCTTATTAAAGGTGAGGTATTTTTGCTGCTTATAAGGATTATTATCATAATTAATAGGGAGGTATTTGTTGCTGTTTTGATTCATAGCACTTCTTTGGGAATTTCCAAACAGACCAAATGAAAATGAATTAGGAAAAAAAAAAACCAAAACAAATACCTGTTGAATATACTTTTTGCTTGGCTGCAGGATAGTATCAAAGATATGAGCAAAACCCTCTTAATTTGAATCATCAAGATCTAATATGGGTAAGATAGGTATACATTAATGTTTGATTCAATACAATTAACAAAATACTGTAATACATAGACATAGAAACATAGATCAGAGGTTTAAGTCTATTGGTTACAACTAGTGGCATGAAAAATACCACAGTTATCCAATGTATCAATTTAAAACTAGCCTGCCCCTACACTGATATCCACCAGACATTAACAAAATCTTCATATCATATCATACAAGTAAACTGTGTTTCTCATTGATAGATAATACTTATAATATGTACAGTTGTATTGATCAGCTTTCTGTCACTACAATAAAATACCTGAGATCCTTAACTCAGACAGAGAAAGGATTTACTTTGGCTCACTGTATTGGAGGGTCTGGTCCAAGGTCACTGTTGGGGCAGCCAAATAGCAATGGTAGAGAGTGTGAGGGAACAGAATGCATCTTCATGGCCAGGAACCAAGGTAGAAAGAGCAAGAGACCAGGCCCACAGTCCCTTCTGAGGCCACAGCTCCAGCAACCTACAGGTCTCCCACTAGGCCTCAGCTCCCAGAGATTCCCCCAAGTGATGCCAACCTGGAGATGAATCTTGAACACGGGTTGGGGGGACACTTACCATAGCAACAGTGTACTTGTGCTGGGTTCAAGTTCCTCTCTTAGCATTACACACACTTGTCCCCTTCCTAGTGGTTCCATCACCAACTCTTCTTTAATTTGCTTGATCTTTATTTCTATATTTTTAGGATTTTCATAGCAGTGAACTAAGCTGTATTTATTTTTTAAATAAATTAGAGGTTTGCTTGGAGTGCAATTCAAACTCACTGGGAAGACAGCAAAACCACCAAGAATCGGCTCATGCTGAGGTAAAACACAATGATACTGTACCTTTGTTATATGTGCATCATTTACCTATTCTCTCAACCAAATATTTCCTGAGTGTCTACTGTGTGCCTTACACGGGACACACAAGGCGGCCCTCTCAGGAGCTTAGCATGGATACGGTAGATGGATGTTTAAACAAGGAACTGAAGCAGCAGTAAGCGCTAAGCGAGAGGAAGTACCAAGTGCTGTGCCTCCAGTCACTTACAGGTATGCACACACAATAGGTCACTGAGGGTTGAAACCCTTGAGTCCAGTTGAAACCAGTCCAGGAAAAGGTATTCTGGAAGTGTTAAATCATGTTTTGGAGGAAGGGAGAGATGAGCAACTCGATTTAGAGAGAGACACTATATGATGGGGGGGCAGCTATTTCAGGAAAATTCCTAAAGGGGAAGAGCTGAGCTGAATGGAATTTCTAGTTGTTGTGTTTTACAGAACCCCCATACTGATCCATAGGGATCAGCTTGCACTCCCACCGACAGTGAAGAAGGGCTCCTTTTTCTTTGCAGCCTCCCCAGCATTTGTTATTATTAAATTTCTTGATGATGGCCATTCTTTCCGGAATAAAATGGAATCTCAGTGCTGTTTTAATTTGCATTTCTCTAATGGTCAGGGATGTTTTCATGTATTTATTGAGCATTTGTACTTTTTCTGAGATTTCAGTTGTCCATTTTTTGACTGGGTCTTTTATTTTGGGGGATCTAATTTTTTTGAGTTCTTTATATATTCTTGACATTAGTCCTCTGCCCATGGAGTAGCTGGCAAAAATATTTTCCTGTTCTGTAAGTTGTCTCTTCACTCTGTCGGCTGTTTTCTTTGCTGTGCAGAAGCTTTTTAATTTGAAATAATCTCATTTGTTTATTCCTGATGTTATGTCTTGTGCAATTGGGGTTCTGTTCAGAAAGTCCTTGCCTAGGGCTCTCTTCCAGAGTTTTACCTCTTTTGTCTTCAGAAGATTGTTTCTGTTTTAACATTTAGATCTTTGACCTGTTTTGATTTTAGTTGAGTGCATGGTGAGATGTATGGATCTATATCCAGTCTTCTGCATGTGGGCAGCAGTTTTCCCAGCAGCATTTATTAGAGGCTGTCTTTCTCCCAGTGTGTGTCATTTTCCCCTTTGTCAAAAATCAGATAGCTGGTGGTGCCTGGGGCTGTCTCTGCTCCCCCTGTCCTGCTCCACTGGTCCTCCTGTCTGGTTTTGTGCCAGCACCATGCTGTTTTCTTGCTGTAGCTTTGTAGTATAACTTCAAGTCCAGGGTTGTGATGTCTCCTGCTTTGCTCTTTTTACCCAGGATTGCTTTTGCTATTCTAGGTCTCTTCTGGTTCCATGTAAATTTTAGGGTTATTTTCTCCAAATCTGTGAAGAATGCTGTTGGTGTTTTCACAGGGATTGCCTTAAATCTGTGTCGCACTTTTGGAAGTGTGGCCATTTGGACCGTATCAGCTCTGCCTGTTCTGCAGCAGGGCACACTCTCCATGCTCTGATCTCCTCTGGGCCCCTTTTTCAGGGAGCTGTAGTTTTCAGCACAGACATCTTTGCCTCCCTCTTCTTTTAAAAATAGCTTTTGGTTTTGCCTTTCCCCTCATTGATGGCCCTCACTTGGCCCATGTCTGCCTGTTTTTCTGCCCATCCTGAGCCACTGAGCTCCACACAGCCATGAGGGGAGAGGGCAAGAGGCTGAGAAGCTCCCAGCACCTCCTCCTCCTGTTTTTCTTCTTTGTTTCTCAACAGTTATGTTGATTTTAGCTCCCTCCAAGGTCTTTATTTTATCTGAGATTTTTGTTAGGATTTTTCTACCTTCTTCACAACTAATGTTTTAATATGTCCATGAATCTATTAAAGAAACTGTGTACAAACATCTTCTGTTTCTCTTAGGTAATCGTAAGAAAAACCAATTTATTTTCCCTCTTCTCCCCTTTCTCTTTGGTCTTATGGCCACCCTGGCTCAGCTGTGTACTTTCCAGCAACCCTAAAATGTGTCATCCACTCTTTCATTCACGTGAGGGATGCATTTCTATACTGGCTTTTTTAAAAAAAACTTTCTTCCCTTTTCATTTTAATTTTTTAAATCAGAAGGCTTTTTTTTAAAAAAAAAAAAAGGTTATTTTTGTCATGTAATTGACTCACAGAAGAAAGGTTAATCTGAATGACCAAGGGGTGTTAATTTGTGGGTTAAAATGTGTTAAACAGTTGATAGGAAGTCTGTTTAAGTCAATTAGAGAGCATAATGAAGATGTTTCCAGGGTGTTGGGAAACCTTTGCCATTGGCTCACAATGCACTAGTGTATAACCATGGCACCTACCTTAACATGCTGCTGTGCGCAGGTCTTCAAATTCGTGCGAATTCTAGTGGATATGAATAAATCCTCACATTTAGAGAAAGTTGTGTTTTATTAATGAGACCATTTTCTATAGGAAATTAAATTCATCATTTAATGCATCCTTAAAATAGTGCAAAACATATTACAATTATCTTTGTTACTGATATATTTTTCTAAAATAAAAATATATCCATGCTGTATAACCTTCAAAAATATTCTAGGTTTAATTTGTCTATATGCCTCCTTGTTTTATTAACAAAATTATCACCATTATTATAGACTTCTGAAAACAGAAGGTAGAATTCATCTAGAAGGTAGAGTTGATAAAGATATATAAAATTTGGTGTGTGGTCATTTAAAGAAATGATGCTTTTTCTCTGCTAAAATTACTTGAAGTAATATGAGATGTTTTAGGATTAGTTTCTTCAAAACTTTCAAATAGGTAACATGATGCAGAATTTCATGTTCTTTGCTCCATTTCAGTAGCTGAATGTCATTTCTGTAGGATGACAGCTCTATTTCAGATGAAGGAAGCCCTGCGAATTCCACAGTTCAAATCCACAAGAGAGATGACTGTAAACATCACATCTTAAAATACATTCTTCACTTGGTGCCAGGGTTACTACAGTACTATTTTTTATTACTTGTGTCAGTTTACTAGTAATAAACACATTTAGCATTTCTGCTTCTTTTTGCAGCCTTTTGGTTTAATTATTTAGCGATTGATGAAAAGCAAGTCTCGTATGCTAAAAGGATTTCCACATTGATGAATTAAATGCCAAAATAATGAAAGCGCACAGTTTAAAAAATATACTGAAGAATAGATGTTTTCTGATGAATTTCCACAAAAGCATCATATTTTAAAGATATTTTAAGCCATTCATGGTATTACTTTTTAATCTACTAGAGAACCACTGTGAGCGTAGTCTTTTGTAGCTTATTAGCAATTTCTTTAATGAGTTTTTCGGTGTGATAGATAGTTAAAGTAACACACAAATGACAGATTGTTTGCCTTTAATGATTTCCCTGTTTCAAGCCCATTACAAAGCAATTAGAAATCTGACAGCATTTTCACTCTGCATTACTGATCATCTAAAGTGATGAAGAATGAGAGGTGATGAATATTAATTGTATATTTTCATATGATTATCATAAATTATTACCTTGTCTGATGTGCTGCAGGTGAAGCAGCAGTGCTGAAGAAAGGCAGCCAGATACATTAATTTGAAAGACTATATCGTTTTTAAGAAATCTTTGTCTGTAGTGTAAATCCTGGTCTACAATGGTAGTCTCTGAATGCTCTGTGAATAGTAAATTAATTATTTTTAGTTTCTCTGTATATTTGGAGCAACTTAAATACATTTTCTTATTTAAGTGAAGAAAAGAAAAGATTATTTCATATTACTACATACATATATAAGTTCAGAATTTAAAATATCTTGTATATTACATACATACACATATACCTATATTCAGATACATCACTACAGAGAAAGATAGCCTTAGAAGTAGTTCTTACATTAGCTTTAAGTTAAACTCAGGTAATCCTGCAAAAGAAGGAGAGGCAAAATGAGAACGTTAACTGGATAGAGTATAAGATTTTTCTAGGTCCTCACGGTAGCCCACTCGGTCCAAGCGCACAATCCTTCTGACTCTTGCTGTAGGCAGAGAGGCCAACCTGTCAAACAAGATGCAAGCGCTGCTGTTACATTGTTGCTTGGTCCTTGCCTGGGACTTGGGGCAAACGCTGGCCAAGAAAGCAGATCGTGGTGCGTAGCATGGTGACAACTGGCAAGCTGAAAGCATTTCAGACAACTCGAAATGTAATGGAATCAGTTTTACCGAACTAAATTAGTTTTTATTTTTGTACCTCTCTAACTGTAGATATCAGTTGGCAATCAATGCGTAATGAATAGTTCTGAATTTCTTGTGCTGCTGCAGCTTGACTCAGTCCTGGCTTTTTGACCCTTTGCACGCGGCTTGCTTCGCGGTACACCATGACTCACAAATAGAAGCCTGGCCTCCTGGATCCACTTTGATTTGTGGAGAAAGCCTTAATCAGTATAGTAATGATTTTAATCAGCGAAGTAAGTTTTAGCACGCTATTTAGAAATGATTGTCTATTTTGTATCCAGTCTTATGTAGTCTCATTTTGTATATATGAGGAGTGAAAGTGAAGAGCTCTCTGAAATTCATTACAGATTTACTGAAGGAAAAGCTGGGTGTCATGATGAGAAAGGAAGTTACCGGAAGGGGTTGAGTTTCTAGCGTTTTATAGCCTTTTTCCTGGATAAGCTTTGCAAACGTGTTATTTATTCTTCATGTCTGAACCTCCCAAAGTTTTGCTCTACTGGCTCTGTTTCTTCTATAATGTAGGTCTGCCCAGCACAGTTTAGAGAATCTGAATGGCGATTCCCTGTGTCCTCAGCCCCTTTCTGCTGCTGTTCATTATCTCTCTTTTTTTCAGCTTTTATCAGAAGGTGCCACAGATGCAAAATAGCAACAACTCCAGAGGAGCGGGAGGGTGGGGCGCAGTCTCGCGAGTGAGTCCCGCGGCCGCCCCTTTGGGCAGGGCTACTCTACTAACTGGGAGCCCGGGCCGAGACCTCCCCAGAGTCCTTCCCAAACCCGGCCAGCCTCCCTTTGCTTCCACTTCCAACCCACCACTGTGTTAGCCCGTGTCTTGTTATAGTGAAATATGTGAGGCTGGGACACTTTATAAAGAAAGGGGATTTTTCAGCTCACAGTTCTGGAGATTCCAGGGCCTGGTGACAGCACCAGCTCAGCCGTGGTGAAGACCACGTGGTGGGAGTATGTGGAGGAAGCCAGAGGGTGAGTCCGGGGCTGAGGCCTGGCTTCCAGAACCGCGTGTTGTCCCTAAGGGCCACCAGGCTCCTTGCTGAGAGGGTGCCCATCCCTAAGGACCTCCCCCCAGGCCAGACTCCCGAAGGGTTCCAGCACACCTCCCTACACCCCTGCCAGAGGACCAAGCTTCCAGCGAGTGAATCTTCGGGGAACAAACCATGCTGAAACCATAGCAACCACCAACTGACAGCCCTGACTTTTGGCCAGAGTCTCCACTTTTCCTTCAGAGGAATTGGTCTGGAAAACAGACCTGTTTTTCCATGACAGAAAACAGCTATTCATACCTCAGTCCACAGGGACCTGTGCTGCCGCCCTCCCCCTGGCACTGTTAGCAAATCAACAGCACAGGAGACAAACTCTTCTCAACTGCAAATAGCTGCATCTTCTCTGACACCAGAGTCTCTGGGATACGAATATATTCCGCCATGGCTAAATATGCTGTTTGAAGAGCCCAGGATTTAGCTCAGTGGTGCTGCCGCCTGCCTTGCAAGCGCAAGGTCCTGAGCTCACTCCCCAGTACTAAAAAAAAAATAAAAAAAACACTCACCTGTGTTTGGATAATGCAGGAGACAGATCTAAATACAAAAATGTGGAGCTTTTTAATTAATACCCACTTTCACATTGTTTACTCATTTGATCTTTTGAATAATCCTATGGGGAATGGAAAGGAGTTATATTATCATATACACAAGGAAAGAAGGGTGGGAAAGGATAGTGGAAATATTCACACCTACATCAGCTGACATAATCTGAGCTCCCATATGTGAAAGATCCTCTATTAAATGGCTCAAATTTTAACAATAGAAGGGCTTTAGAGGGCCCCTTGTATGAGTCTTCCCTCTTGTCAGTTTTAGACAGAAATAAAGCCAAGAGAGTTCAAGATGTACCCCAGGTCTGCCCCACAGCTAAAACCAGAACTACAAGTGCATGATGGTCCCTTCCTGTGACCGAAGTCTTCATACCCTGAAGTCCTCCATGCTACTTTGATCTGGGATACACTGGTCTCCAGATACATGGACCGCCTTCTTTCATCTTGTCTATACCATCTTCCTTCTCTAACCAGGCAACAGCTATTCTTCCTAATCTTCAGGTTTTAAGTGATTTTTACCAAGTACTTACATTTTAAGTACCGTGATGTTGCCATCTGTACCCATGGGAGATCCTTTTGTTTTGGTCACAAAGCATTCTCTTTAGTTGTATTTTCTTCAGTCAATAAAATAAAGCAATTATTGGTTACAGTCTTGGCTTGGCAGATGGACATATTTTTACCTTGTTTCACCACACTGTCTGAGTTACAAAACTGTTTCATTGTGTAGGTGTTGCCACTGAACATTCTGGAGTGTCCTGGATACCAGAGGAAGAGGAGACCGTGGTGACTGAGGTACCTGTGTTGACAGAGCCTAGGGAAGAGGTGGGGCACTGACTCGTCCCCAGTTCCTCCTTCATCCTCCAATGCATGCGATGTCACCAGGGCATCTGTCCTTCTCTAGGCTGGGGGCTCCCTGATCGTTTCCTTGGTCCTGAGGCTTAGAAGGACAAGTGCAGTCAGACTACAACCTGGTCCTCACACTTTTTCCCTAAGATGTCGATGTTATTATTTTACTATGTTATAAGTGGTAACAGGTTGGGGACAGCAACTCCGATCTGAGAGCAGCTCGTTTTAACATAGTGCTGGCTCTTGCCCCATCCTCACCAAAGCCAGATGTTTCCCCATCAGGGTCTTCCCATCGTAGCCAGGCTCTCAGTACCCTGGAGTCCTCTGCGCCATTTTTATCTGGGCTACTCTGGTTTACTCTTTTCTTTCTTTTCTTTTTTTTGGTACCAGGGATCGAATTTGTGTCCTTGCACTTGCACAGCAGGTGGCAAAACCACTGAGCTAAATCCCCAGCCCTATCTGGGCTACTCTGGTCTCCTGATACAAAGACTTCCCTCCTTCATCTTGTCTATATTTTCTTCCTTCTCTAACCAAGTAACAGCTATTCTTCACAACCTTCAAGTTTTAAGTACTTTCATCAAGTACTTACATTCCAACCACCATTGCATTGCCATCTGTGGCCCTGGAAGACCCTTTTAATTCATTCACAAAACATTCCCTCTCTTCCTCTCAAAATTGCTACCTAAATTTGGTTTCCATCTTGTCCCAGTGCAGTACCACTTGGAATCAAGTCATTTAAGATCCCCAGGTCAAAGAAAGGTCAAGGAGTTAGAAAATTATGGAAAGTCATATTTTAAATTTCGAAGATCTGAAGGGCCTGATGGGATGGGTCCAAAATATAAGGAGGCCAATACCCCTTCCATCAGTCCCCAGTGAACCTGGCTGAGTTCCGAAAGAGTGCCTCGAGAGAGTGGCCATGGCCCAGTAGCCACCTCTACCATTAGTGCAGATTTTTGGGGTCCTTCCCTCAGAAATATTTTTCCTACTGAAGTGGGAAATAGAATTGAAAAACCCACAGCACTGAAATGACACTGTTCACATCTCCCAAGGTAACATGCCCTGTCATTCTGTCACAGGAAGACACTAAGTTCACATGGCACATTAGGCTCTTTGGATGCCAGTTTTTTATGTGCTTCTCAGTGCTACTAATGATTGTTTCATTTGTTCCTGCGTGTTCTCAGGAGCTGTCTAATTACCAAAATCATTTCCCCTTGCTTTAAGGATGGGTATATTTTCCCTTTTACAGTCTTCAGGGGCGTTTTCCCATCACTTTACTATGGTGAGAACAGACCGAAATAGTTAAAAGGAGTGGGAAGGAAGAGGGATGAGAATATCATATTTTTTCTTTTGTGGTAATCACATTGCTCATGTGACCTATTTTAATCTATGGTCATAAATATTTAATGTTTTAATTCATTCTTAGGCTTCTTAAAGTTCAAAGTAGCTGTCTCTTCTGGAGGAAAGCTTATCATGTACTTCTTTAAGAGTGTGTCTAGTTTCAGAGCCCTCAGTTGTAGCCATTTCTATTTATTTCAGGCTTTGCAAACTGAATAATTTCCTTGCTATTATTCAGTCTGCAGAGGAGCTCAGGTTACCTAGTATGGTGCCTCAACATGTCAAGCGGTTCACTGTACTTACTCTGTGCGTGCCTGGAAGTTTAGCCTTGCTGATTAGTGGGTGTTAGGATTATAATCAAAGAATTACAAGTAAATATCAAACATCAGACTCGAAGCTACAAATTATCCTAAGAATAAGGCATTTAAGAAAAATATTATCTAAAGCTGTGAAAGCAGTTTGATTTTGTGGAAATCATCAAGTGTAGGGGATAGAGGGTCTGCCCAGAGGATGCTGAAGACGGGGCCCATGTTACTCAGCAGTCTGTCCCCCGAGCCATGGATGCTGCCTGCCTGTGTCCCTACCTGTGAAAACCATGGGTTGGGACCATTTTATATTAACATTAACACAGCTATTTAATCAAGTAAAATGGAAACTTCACTTTTCAAATGAATGTAAAGCATTGTACCCCAAAGTGCTCGCAGGGGGAGGCCACTTGAGGCTGGCAGACAGGTACCTCAGCTGGTGGAAAACGTTAGTTCTTGCAGACTGGGGGAGGCGGGTGGGGGGTGGGATTTGGCCAAGTCCTAGTTTCTAATGTGTGTGGCTTCTAACAGCCAGTGAGAGCTTGGGAAGACTGTGAACACTGCGAGGAGGTACTTACTCACTTGCTAGGTCAAGTTTACTGAGCTTGGAAAACTCACAGTGGAAGTCACATAGTCAAATCGGCCTCCTGCGTCTCCCAGCTGGCAGAACAGAAACTAGCACACAAGATTGGGTCAGAGGTGCGCTTTGAGGGTGGAGCCCTTCCCTCCTCACTTCCGCAAGGCTACACAATCCGTTGCTTTGCTTGGATCTTCACAAATTTTGACTGTTTTTAGAATCCTAAAGATAGGGGAACACAGTTATCTGAATGTAGGCAGATGCAGCATTTCTCCAAAGATTACGGGGTGCAGATAGGATTGTTAATGATCTCTCACGTTAATTTAAGAAGATGATATCATTGTTTTGAGGGTAAGCTAGGCGTTGTAGATGGGGAATTAGACTATGCTTTCATGATACATGAATTGCTATGATTAGTTGAATTACGAAGTTATATATATTGAAATCATCCCTGAGTCGTTCAGCTGGGTTATGAAAACACCGGATGAAACGTCCCGGAAATAGACAGGGTTCGAGGCTGCCTGTTGCGAGCCCTTAGCAGGGCTGAGCCGGCCGGCTGAGGCCGCCCCTTCGTGTCCTACAGCTTCTGCCTGCTGGTGCTGGAGCCTGCCTCGCGGTGCTCAGGCCCAGGCCGGTGGTAGGTATCGCAGAGTTGGTGTTCAAGTGGCCTTTATTTTACTTACTACTGGCCCCAGGGTGCAAGAGTAGCAATCCTGGTGAGATTCTAAGACGCCAAAGCCAAGCCATCAAGTTCTTTCTTTAAGTGGAAAAAGACCTCCACTTAGGGAAAGGGAAAAAAATGCACAGTGAAATGGCCCAGATTTCTGACAAGAACAAATACAGCCATGAAATGGTAAAGAAAGCAAAGGTGCGGTGGGGGCTCGGCTCAGGCTGCCCGTGAAGCTGGCCGCAGCACGGAGCGCTTAGCGGAGGTGGGGCGCGGCAGCTGCCTGCGGAGCGAACGCTCGAGTTGGCTCTGGCGGCCGGGCTCAGCGGAGACAGTGAGGACCGGCGTTCACGTCCACCTCAGAGTCGCTCCCCTCTCCAGCCCTCCACGCGAAATGCATGAGAGCCCTCTTCAGAGTGAGCAGAGTTCGGGAGGCTGTATCAGTACCTTGCTGTGTCTCTAAGGCCTCTCCCTCTCTCTCACTGAGGCACGGTCTGGCTATGTAATTCAGGCCTTGAACTCACTATGTAGCCCAGGCTGGCCTCGAACTTGGGGTGATCCTCCTGCCTCAGCCTCCCGCGTGCTAGGATTACAGGCGTGCGCCTCTGCGCCTGGCCGCTCTAAGGTACCTGCAAGCAGGACCATTGTATTTCCCTAAGGCAGAGGAGAGAGGAATTCACTGAAGTCAGTGGGGGAGGACTTTTCCTCCTGGGGGAGCATTCAACTTGTTTCTCTACTCCTCAGGGTTTCAGCTTTCTGCTTTCCGAAGTCAAGTGCTGCATTTTATGGCTGTAAATAATAAATTTAAGCAAAATAAAAGCAATTTCATGCTCAGGAGGAAAAGGCATTGATGTGATTTTTACCCTTACTTAAAGAGTTGTGTCCATTAAGCTAATATGGAGTGAAAGGAGCTTTTTTTCTGCCTTCATTTTTGAAAATTGACATAAAAACCTTAAGATTTCCCATGTACCACTTCCAAACTTTTTGAGCCTATTCTATTGCCACACGGCAATCTTTGATGTCTAAAGAATTACATTTCTCTCTCTAAAAAGGAACTAAAGCAAGAGTTGAATAATCTTTTACATATAAAATATGCATATTTATGAAAAAAGTGGATGCATTTGAAAAATAGCATGTATTTTATGCTCCTATTTACTCATTACTATGGCAACTACCACACTACTTAGTACTTATGCTGTCTAAGAAGCAGAAAAGCTTTTCAAAAATATAAATACGCCAGAACCATGTATTGTATTTATTTTGCTGTTTAGAAAAATATTTATTCTAATGCATATTATTGAAGAAAAATAGCAATAAATAATATAAACTTCAGGTTCACTTAAATGATACCTTTTCTTGCAGTATGTTTTAAAAAGCAAAATAATTACAATTTTCTTGTTGTAAAAATGAAAATAAATAATAGAAATAATGAAACTCGTGGGTCAATCTTAAAATGTAGTCTCTCAATTTTTCCTATTTTTACGACTTAAATCTTTTGATTCATAACAAATTTCTGAAAATATAAAACCTGAACACTTAGACCACATACTTAATCTTAGCTTCATAAATTGGAACATGCAAGCCATTTGCATTTCCGATCGAAGACAGTTTTTAACATCTATGAACAAAAGATTTCTGTTTTGTATTTGAGATGAAAGGCGTGGTCGCTACTCTTTTTCTTTGTTTAATTATTTATTTAAATCGTTTTCTGACATGTGTGATACATAAATAAAATATTCTAATGTTAAACATCAGAATTGGAGTTGTGAAGCACAGAAGCAGACGTGTTTCATGTCACGTATCACCTGCCAGGAGAAACTGCAACACGGCGTTTAAGCACTACAGACAGCAAGCATATTGTCTCCAGTACTTGTAAACAGGATGGCTCTGCAGTTTCACAGTTTATGTTGACAGTATCTTTGTGGGAAATGTAATTATCAAATGAATTATAACACATCTTAGTATTAAGATCATTAATAGTGATTTTAATTGCCTTTTTCAAGATAATTGGCTATCTTCTCCTAAGTATACAGAAAAGGGGACATTGGGCTAATTAGATATTTTGAACTTGATTATCTTTAAACTATCTAGAAGTTTAACATATACATTCTGTATTTTAGAAATTTTCTCCTTTAATTAGTTTTCAAAATAGAATAAAAATAATTTATAGTCAACAAAATCTCATGATTACCCCTTAGTATTCCTGTTTGAATATTGCTATGATCTTTAAAATTGAGGAATGGTAATTTTAAAACTTAAATTTTCACTGCCAATTTTAGAATTATTTTTTTCTAAAGTTATTGTAAAACTAGAACAGTTAAGAAGTAGTATTTTAATCCTCTATTAGGTGCTATTGGATGGACTTTTGTATAATATTCTTGTAGCTTTAGATCCTGACCCATTTATAAAAACAAGAGACACACATCAGCAGCCTTACAATTGTTTTTATATTTGATCCATGAATTTAACTTCCAGCACTTTTCAAGGAATCAGTGGTTTGGCCAAAGGTATGTATCTGAGAACTACAGTTTTGTTTTTCAATAAGAAACATTTGAAATAACTAGAATATTAAGTATGTAATAAAGAAAATAACAGAAATGTTCTCATTAAATGAACTATTGTATATATAAACTATGTTTAATATGGTCATGCCTTTGTTTAAAGAAAAGACTATATAAAATCATAACTGGAAGTCTAAAAACATATTCCAAAATTATAGTGGTAGCTTATTTCAAGGCCAGGAGATTGTAAGAAATTTTACTTTTTTAAACATTTTTCTCTCTAATCCTAATAAGGGCATTTGTTTACTCTAGTTGTCACCATTTAAATTGTTTTTAATAAGACAAGTTAGTAAAAATTGTTATGATGAAATAATTTTTTTTCTTTCAGTTCCTGGGATCAAATCCAGGGCCTTGCACAGGCTAGGCAAGTGCTCTACCACTGAGCTGTACCACCTGCCCCATGAAACAGTATTGTGTGGCCTTTGGGAAGTGACCTGTGGCTCTAATCCCATCCATGGTGGACCAGCTCTCTTACGTGGACCTGGGCCCTTAGAGATGAGGAGAGCTCTCTGTGTCATATCTTTCTCCCACACGCCGGCCTCCTCTGCTCTCTGGTATCTCTG